TTTTCACATGTTCACCTCTCTGAAATCAGGATGCATTTTATAAGTGCTGTTGCCAGGAGACAGTCAGGAAATGGTTGTGTTTAACCGTCTAATAGATTAAGGAAGTTCAAGCAACAAAACATCTGAGATTTATGGTTACCCTTCTGGCTGGATCCTCCTCTTTATTCCCATGAGTAACGTAATTCAGAGTCTTAGCATCTCCAGCCTGGACCACTCTTAAGGGCTTCCTTCCTATAGTCTCTAGGTGTGGCCCTTCAATTCATCTTTCCTACTCATACCAGATTAATTTTGCAAATTTGACATTACTTCCTTAGAGGTAAAATTAAATTACAATTTGTCAGTGCTTTCCCACTGCCTTTAGGATATGATCGAAACTCTTAAGGCCTTTGGTGATTTGAGTTGGTCTACCTGGAACTACTTTTTCACTTGAAAACCATGCTCTACTCAAGTGGTTCACAGCTCCAACATCCTCGTACTCCCCACAGACATACTCCATTAGTACTAATAGGTCCTCTAGGCAGTCCTTTAGAAGATGGTGGGGGGAGGGGGTACGGTGTGCCAAGAAAACACCTGACTCTGATATGCTTCCCCAGAGGAAAGGAATTTCCTCTCTCCTTGCTCCTAGGTAAAGAATGGCTTTAAATTTGAATGCAAGCCCCCAAATGATATGCTCTCTCTATACTTCTGTAAATTTTTCGGTCTACACAGAACACTCTTTCTTATGACTACTTCCTTAAGATAAGATTAAGCTCAGGTGAAGCCTTCCCACATTTTCTCACTCCAGATCAGCACCACTCTGAATGTTTCTACAAGATGGTAGGGAGGCTTAGCTCTATCACGGCACTTACCGCATGGCATACTGAAAGACTTCCCCTACCAGACTGTAAGCTCTTTCAGGGGAGGAAGGGTGTGTGTACTTATTATAAATCTAATAACAGAAATATAGTATAGTAGGAAAAGAATGCATTTTTAACTAGTCAAACACAAATGGATTCGAACGCCAGCTTTGCCACATATGGGCTGAATAATGTTGGGAGAATTTACTTCTCTAAAACATCACTGTTCTCCACTTTAAGATGCAGATAACACTTCCTCACAGGGTTATTATGAGGACGAAATGAAACAACACATGCAAATGCACCCATAATACACACAGTATACACTCAATAAATGCTTCCATAAAATTAGGATAATACCTAAATCCTGCAGACAGAAATGCATGTAAAGCACCCACCACAATGCCTGTCACACAGGACTCAATCATCTTTGCTGATGAAGTGGAGAAGAAAGAAGTTAGGGATGCTTTCAAGCAGGAACCAGAACTTAAATGAGGCTCTGAAGGATGCATAATTTAAGAGCTGGGAAGGAAAAAGAGTAACAACATAAGCAAAAGCTGGGAAATAAGGAACACAGAACCTACAAGAGACAGGAAATGTACCTATCTAACAAGCAAAGTGCGTACAATGGGTTATGTCAGGAAACACAACGGGATAAGCAGAGTTCAGCTAGATCAGGGAAGCTTCATAAGCCAGAGAAAAGAGCTATAGTTAAGGAAGGCAACAGAAGATTGTTACAGGGTTCGGAGTAAGGCTAGGAATAAGGGTGAGAGTAATAATATTATGACAGTAACACTTAAGGAAAAGTATTACAGCAGCAGTACGCAGAATGGTCTGCAAAAGAAAAATATTTAGAGTCGGACATTAGCTTTGTGGGAATTTAAGAATGCAAAAGGCAAAAATGACCCACTTTTTAAATTTTCTATATCCTAGCAACCTAATGCAGAGCATCCTATAAATGTGGGAAGTAACAGGATGTAATACAGTGCTGGACCGGGAGTCAGTAATATCTGATACAGGAATGCCATCTACTCTCATGTATACTCACCTCTCGGCTTGCCTCTCATAACAACCTTCTCAAGTAGGCAGAACAGTTTTTGTGTCCTAGTTCCAAGAGGCCCCAGTGACCAAGAGGAGACAGCTAAAATTCCACAATTCTATTGTTTTATTTACTATTTCAGCTTTCTTGATAAGTTCCTTGAAGCAAAATACAAAATTACCTTCTTTCTGTATAACCTAGCCAACCCCTATAGTATCTTTTAGATAATATTCAAATCCTTGATGAGTTCATTATAACCCTATTAATTTGCTAGAGAACTGATTTTAATTACTACCTTCTATACAGACAAAAACCAAACAACAACAACAACAACACATCTAAATCTTCACCAAATTCCCCAACCTTCAGGACTGAATTTCTACCTACCGCTTGCTTGGCCCACCTGGTTGTTTCACAGGTACCTTACACTCATCACGCCCCAAAATGAACTCAACATCTTCTCGTTAATCCTAATTGCCAAATCACTCCAAAATTCTGTCTTTTCATCTTCAATATTATCTTAGTTCAGGCCAAAGCAATCTCTTGCTTGGATGCCTGCATTCGCCTTTTAAGTCCTATCTATACTTTTCCAGATTCTTCTACCACCTCCCTTATGCTGCAACTATACTGACTTACACACATGAAACTCCCTACCCCCAGCCCCACCCCAGCAATTTCAAGCTGCACACTTTGCCTGGATGTCCTCCCCCAAAATCAATGGTGGGGCAAACTCCCATTAGTCTTTCAAGGTCCTACTACTGAAGGGAAACTTTCACTACATCACTCTCCCTTCCATGCCAACACTGTACCTCAAGTATGCTAAGCCAACCCACCTCTGATCTTGCTGTTCTCCACCACTTATTACATAGTTGTATACACAGTTTTTGGATTAATTTTTCTTGAAGAAACCACAACATGTTACCTCCCACCACCCTCCATCTAGGGAATTAAAAAAAAAATACACTCTTTGGACCAAACAAGAACTGGCTTCATGTTCCTTTTCCAACCACACTAGCTCTCTTCATATACCATTCACACTAGCTAACTGTACCACAGTCTGTTCAGCAGTCTGTTCATTCCTTTTGCTTGTACTGTGCCCCCAATTTGGAATGCCTTCTGTCCACATCCCCTAGTCAAAATACCATTCACCTGTTTAGGCCTAGCCTAAAGGTTACTTCCTCAGGAACTTCACCAGTCTGAAGTACTCTCTCCTTCTTATGAACTCCCAAAGTACCACAGTATGAAACCTGTTACAATTATTATTAATTATAAAATTATTTAAATTAACATTATTATTTTCTTTTCCTCATTAGATTGTAAGGTCTTGAAGGTAGGATCCATATTAAAGTTAGCTTTTGTTATGTCAGCCTGTTATAATAGACAGCTGACAAATAAATTGTAGGACTGAGCAAATGAAACACAGTGAATCTCCTTATAGCGAATAAGGTTTAGAGTTCCAGTACACTGGAACAAGAAACTGGCTATCTAGATGTAAGTCCAAAGTGGCAGAACTTTGGCACCCTTTTGAAGTCTGGGTTTCTTCCTGATTTAGAAGATGAATATCAACAAACTCCTCTTTCATGTAAAGACCAAGTATGATTCTTTTTTTTTTGCCTCTAGGACAGTTTATGAAAATTCCTTCAGTCATGTATGCATTCAACAACTATCATATACTCATAAGCAAGATATTGTGAGGGATACAAACTTTCATAAGATATAATCTTTACTCTTCTAAGCGTTTTTACTAAGGGCTACTCTGTCCTTAAATGATTTGAAATCTCTTCCTACATTGCGTCACTTCTAGATGATGCTGACAACAGAGCAATGATGATGACAGCTGACACACACTGAGACATTAACTGCCAGGCTTATTTTAACTGCTTCATATGTATTAAAGCAATTAACCCTCTTAACAACCCTATGAGACAGACTACAAAATACCATTCCTGTTTTACAGATGAGGCAACTGAGGCAAAGATTAAAAACTTGCAAAGCTCACACGATGGGAGAACCGGGTTTTGAACCCAGCCAGTAGTGTGGTTTCCAGCTATACTGAACTCCCGAGAAAAGGGACCAAGGTTTATATATGTTATTATCCCGCACAGAATCTAACATCCGTACCCAGGAAAAGCTGCAAAAAGGTTGCCAAAATACCTTTTCAGAGAATAGGGCAGTGTGGAGAAAACGGACATCTTCACTCTCTCAGTAACTCAAAGTCCCGATTCTTTCCGAAAGAGGAATACTCCTCGTGGTATTGCAAGAGCGGCAGCGTACATAACCTGTGCCTGGACTTTTTCGCTGCCCCCAACGCGGAGCTGATTCTGGACACATGGGCTCGCCCCCGGTCCCTCAATCTACTTGCAGGTAAACTGTATTGAGAAGGAGAAGCGCGCCCCAGCCTGCGGTGCCACGGCACAAAGTGGTTTCTCACTCCTCTTAACAGCACTCAGGCACCGGCTCCCTCACGCGTGCCCCGGGAGCTCCCCCGCACCCTCCCCCTTCCCTGAGCCCAGAACGCGGGTTTGCGAGTCCGGACGAGCCGGACAGTTCTTTCCTCCCACCCCCCCCGGCGACTCACGTCCCTCAGCCCGGTTGGCAATGCGCGGGGGCCCCATACTTAGAATCTGCAGAAAACACCGCTCTCCTGAAGTTCAACTCGCTGCCGCCACAACGAACCACGCGGACACTCTCCTCCTCCACCATCTTTGCGCAGATGCAGGAACTCACGCTCGTGAGCCCGCCCAGAATTTCCTTTAGGGAGGCCGGGCCGTAGAACACGAGTCGCAGCCCACACAACCCGTGCCTGGGCCCCTCTAGGCTTCAGTCTCGATGGTAGGATCCAGTATATGTGCCGCCATCTTTTGTGTGGGAAACGTTAAATTAGGACACATGTAAAAAAGGTGGAAGCGAAACAGAGACATAGAGACAATGAATTTATATTAGACACCCCTGAACTTTTATTTAGTACTAATTTTCTTTTTTCTGGCCCTGTCAGTTTGATTATATATCTTCTTCCGCCAGAAGAGAAGGGTGTCCTATCACGTGACCTCCAGTCACCTCCCTTCCCCACCCACCAGGCCGCTTCTTTCTCCGCTTTGATTCGGGCTCTGAGAGATGACGCCAGCGTTTTGTACCGCTTGGTTTCTCGGCCGCGCAGTTGAGTTCTTGGGTGGAAAGGTAGCTGTCTACTTCTTGCATAGCTGTTTCCCCACCCATTAGTCGTCATTTTCTCCTGTTCCGCTGAGCGTACCATAGGTTCCTGTAGAATCTCCACAACTCCGAGGGCCTTGCTTTTTCCTTTGGACGCCTGGCTCCTGCTCCGGGATTCTGGTGCATCTTTCTTTCACCGATTCGATGGAGCCGCTCGGACTGATCTGACATTCCCTCCCACCCCCGCCCAAGTTCCATGTCTTGCTACGGGTTCTTCTGTGCCTGTTGCTTTGGTTTTAGCTTTCCCCCGTTAGTCGACCGTGCCTGTGGGTGAGGAAGCCTTAACATACTCTATACTCTTTTTGTAAAGTTATGTACTTTTTTTTTTTGTGGTCCCTGTATATTAGAGGCGCTTATCTTTATTCACTCATCCAGTAAACATTTATCGATCCTCTCTGCCAGCTCTGTATCACTACGAAGAGTGAAGAGCCACTGACAGCTTAATTTTAGCAGGAACAGGAGATCTGACTTGTACGCGTTACCTCTTGATATGTTAAAATTTGTAACTCTTCAGTTTTTCTGGAGACAAATAACAATTATTAAATAATTATTGTGAGGCACAGCGCAAGACAGACGGGATTCAACGGGAGAGAGACAAGTAAATAAGATTGTGTGCTGAAGAAAGTAAGACCGTAACATGAGAAAAAAAGATTTCTGTGAGGATGTTTAACATGATGAATATGTGTTTGTTAAAGTTGTGCCGGTTAAAAAATATTTTAAAAATTCAACGTTAGTACAGATTTGCAGTAAAATAATTTCAGTACAGAAATATGGTTAGAATGATCCCAGCCCATCTTATACCCCACAAATATCTCCACCATTGAAAATTTGGTGTATGTGCTTCCTGATATTTTTCTAGGTATATATAAACCTTAACATTATTCTTCAATACAGTGCACTACAGAATTCTTTATTCTCTTATGCTTTCACTGCATACAGATTTTATCTTTTTAATGACTGCATAGTATTCTGTAGAGCAAATGTACCATAATTGATTAAATCATTGTCTCAAAGGTGGATATTTAGTCATTTCCATTTTTAAAGTGGCAAATAGTGCTATAGAACACATAAATTTGTTGCTATTGCTATAGGAGAGCTTCCTAGAATAGGTATTGCAGGATTGAAAGATACCTACATTTTTATTTTGAAGGAATGTTTTGTGGAATTGAGACATGAGTTACTGGGGAAACTAGGAGGAATAACTAATGGCAGCCAAAAAGGGAAAATACTTAACTTAGCTTTTAGTCTAAAGTTCGGGGAAAATCCATAGGAAGAAGAGAGTTACAAGAGAGTATGTTTTCTTAAGAAGAAATCGGAAGGGAAAAGGACTGATGAAATTGTATCAGGCAAGCAGTATTGCCTATAGATAGGTACTGCAGCAGTAAGCAACAATTGGAAGATAGCCAGAGCTAGGTAGTCCACTATTTGAAATTTAGATTGTGTGGGGTTTCACTTTGCCAAGAATTGTTAAGTATAATGAATTCTGCTTCCTAAGTCTGACAGTTTCTTTCATATGCTGGCATTTGTATAGTAATACATCAATCTTTGTTGATTGGCTCTTAAGCACTAATACACAAGCAAAATTTTCTAAAGCGTTTGGAGGACCAGAAAGAATTAAGATGATATTGAGGATGATGGAAGGTGGCTTGATATTCTCTGCATGTGCTATTAAACTATCAGTTACTCCCCTAGGCATTTCATAGAAGAGAGCTAGGAAAGCTTGGCTCCTTTGTTGAGAAGGGAAGCTGAGCATATTTGACAGATCCCTAGTTCTCTCCAGCTCTCCTCTTTTCTTTCTGAGTCCTCGCCAGAATCATGTTTAAAAGTCCTTTAATGGCAATATTGACTTTTTGTAGCACACACCTTAAAACTCTTCCAGCCTGTACCCTTATCCAGTTCCAAGGCCACTTTCACCTTTTCAGGTATTTGTTAATTACAGCAGCATCCCACTCTCAGTACTAAAATCTGTATTATTCAGAGTTCTCCAGAAAAACAGAACCAATAAGATCGATCAATCTCTCTATCTATTTAAAGGGATTGGTACACTCAATTATGGAGGCTGAAAAGTCCCACAATCTGCATTCTGCAAGTTGGACACCCTGGAGAGAGCTGGTGGTGTAATTCAGTTTGAGTCTGAAGGCCTGAGAACCTGGGGAGCTGATGGTGTAAATCCAGTCTAAGTGCAGGAGGAGACCAATGGCCCAGTCCAACAGTCAGGTAGAGTGGAACAAATTCTTCATTCCTCCTCTCTTTGTTCTCTTCAGGTCCTTAATGGGCCCTGAATGATGCCAACTCACATTGGGGAGGGCAGTCTGCTTTACTGAGTCCATGAGTCCATAGATTCAAATGCTAACTTCCTCTGGAAATACTCTCTTAGACAAACCTAGAAATAATGTTTAGCCAAATATCTGGGAACCCCACGACCCAGTTAAGTTGACACATAAATTAACCATAACACAGGCAACTACTGATTGGTTCTTTGTCCCTACAGTTTTGCCTTTTCCAGATACTCATATAAATAGCATCATATAGTACATAACCTTTTGAGTCTAGCTTCTTTCACTTAGCATAATGCATTTGAGATTC